TTTTTATTAAAATGCATATAAAAAAATTGGCACATACAATTTTTAATGAAAAATTTACTCCTCTTTCAGATTCTACTGTTAAAATTTGTTTATATCAAATTGTTAAAAAGTTATAAACAATTTTTTCCAAAAAAACACGATTTTTCGAGAAAAATATTCCATTTCAGACGTATTTTCACCGGAAAAAAGTAGACAGATACTCTCAAAAGCTCCAAATATCGCGTCCATGGACCCTCAGCTACAAATCCCTGAAGCGATCAATTTTTTTTTAAAATGGCGGACACTAATATGGCGGCTAAAACTAAATAAATGGTTCACATGAAACATAGTGCTCCAACTTTTTCAAGTCACTGAAATGGCCTGAAACTCGTTACTCGGAGGTTCTTGGGGTCGCTGATTACGAATATGATGTCAGTTTTCAAAAGTTCAAAATGGCGGATCTAATATGGCGGACGAGTTTTGTAAAAATTAATTAGATTCACCTGAAACTCTCTTCTTGGGGGTTATTTGTGGGCGCTGAAATACGAATATGATGTCAATTTTCGAAAATTAAAAATGGCGGATTTAATATGGCGGACGAAAAATTTTAATGTCGTCTATTTCACTGGATACTCGTCACTCTGGGGGTTTCGGCCTCGCTGATTACGAATATAATGTCAGTTTCTAAATCAACGACTCCGAAAACCCCAGAGTGACAAGTATCCAGTGAAATAGACGACATTAAAATTTTTCGTCCGCCATATTGGATCCGCCATTTTTAATTGTCGAAAACTGACATAAGATTTGTAATCAGTGATCTTCAAAATCTAGAAGTAAACAGTTTTAGGTCAATCAGGATAATTTTTAAAAAATTCTGCCATATTGGAACTGCAATTTAAAGTTTTGAAGAACTAACACCGAATTTTTAATCAGCCCCAAAAACCCTTGAGTGACGAGTTTTGATCAGATTCGACATTTTAACATTTCTCACAGTACAAATGCAGGACGCTCACGGTTTTTCCCGGTGAGATTCTTGCAACGAGCTTAGGCCAATAAGGGCTAAGGCGTGGCCTAACCGCTAAACGCAAGAAATTCATCGCGAAATCCGGTGAAACTACTACCTAAAAAAGGCATGAATTGAAGTCACGGAAAAAAGCCTTGTTTTTTCTCCTGGGAGTGCGACACCCGGGGACTTTACTGTGTGTTCTTCAAGCTAAAATATGATATTATCTTTTATAAAAATTATTATTTATTGTAGGTCAGTACATCTATTTTGAAGAAAAATAGGTTTCATAATAATTTATTTAATCTTAATATCTACAAAAAAAATTTCTTAAACTACTGAAATTACCTTAAACCGATAACTGGGCGTCAGCCACATAGAAATGTTTCGCCGTCAACTTCATAAAGTTATCAAATACACAAAGACACTTGGGACAATAATGTCAATTTTTACGAATTTAAACGAGATATTTGAGTAAAAAGCTAGAATATGAGTGTCGCAAACCCAGGGTGCGCTTTAAGGATTAAATTTTTAAAAACTGACATCATATTCGTAATCAGCGCCTCCAAGAACCCCCGAGTAGAGAGTTTCAGGTGAGTCCAATTAATTTTTACATAACTCGTCCGCCATATTGGATCCGCCATTTTGAATTTTTCAAAACTGACATCATATTCGTAATCAGCGATCCCAAGAACCCCAGAGTAACAAGTTTCAGGTGAATCTCATTAATTTTTACATAACTCGTCCGCCATATTGGATCCGACATTTTGAATTTTTCAAAACGCACATCATATTCGTAATTAGCGACTCCAAGAACCCCCCAGTAGAGAGTTTCAGGCCATTTCAGTGACTTGAAAAAGTTGGAGCACTATGTTTCATGTGAACCATTTTTTTAGTTTTAGCCGCCATATTAGTGTCCGCCATTTTTAAAAAAAATTGATCGCTTTAGGGATTTGTAGCTGAGGGTCCATGGACGCGATATTTGGAGCTTTTGAGAGTATCTGTCTACTTTTTCCGGTGAAAATACGTCTGAAATGAAATATTTTTCTCGAAAAATCGTGTTTTTTTGGAAAAAATTGTTTAAAACTTTTTAACAATTCGGTAAAAACAAATTTTAATAGCAGAATCTGAAAGAGGAGTAAATTTTACATTAAAAATGGTATGTGCAAATTTTTTTATATGCATTTTATTAAAAAACAAGGTCCTCAAAGTCAATGGAAATTTTCCGTCCGTCTGGTCCATAATGGGTTAAGGAGGACATGTAATTTAATATTATATCCAATACACTTTCAATTTTAAGAAAAGATTTTAAAAGATGTCTTAATGGAATAATTTGAACGCATCTATTTTTTGGAACTTCTTTGTTACCAATTACTTCGAAATCTTGACAAATTGTATGAGAAGTAGGATCAGTGTAAATTCCACTTTCTCTTAAGTTTTTTAAACGTAAATATTCAGTTTTTTTTTCTAGCATGTCAGGTAAAACTTGAAACATTGAATCAATTTCTTTTTGTTCATTTTGAGGTATCGAATTTTTCTCTAAAATCTGTTTATTTTTTTCTTGCATTGTTTTTAGTGGAATGGTTACGATATTATTCATTTCATCAATCACACATTGAACCATGTTTCTGGGTATTGATGGATTGCTGTAAATATTTGTAATCATGCGATTCATTTTTCCTTCAATTAAATCAGTTAGATTAGATTGTTCCTCGCTCTTAGAAATGTTGATATTATTATTATCATTTGATTCCTTGCAATTATTATTAGAATCAGGAGCACTATTAGAGCTTAAAGTTGAATCATAAGAAGTGGAAGAAGAAGAAAAAAAGGAAGGGAAATGTGACTTACTCGATTCTAATACGCGATTACTTTTAACACAAGAGACATTAGGACCTTTGTCAGAAGAAATATTCTTATAATAAAACTGCTTTAAATTAGATACTAATGTGTGTGTACTGTCAAACGCGCTAGCAATAGATACATCAGGAAGAACTTTAACAGAAAAATTTGATGTACTTGGCGAGGATGAGCTAATGCAAACACTACTGACACTTGATCAAGAGACGTTCTTATCAAAAGGAGAAGTGAGTTCTTTAGTAGGAAATTTAGATGAATGATCAAGTTTGATATGACGTTTAAAGGAATTCAAGGAAGGAAATGATCTTTCACATATTGAACAAATATATTGATACAGGTCACTAAATAGTAGGAAAAAAACAAAACATTATTTTTCGTTCCCGCATAGTCTTGGCCGAGCTAATGTTACTATCCTAAAGGAAAATTGTAATACAATTTTTAGTTTACTTTTTAGACTTTTTTTTAAACATTCTTTCGCGGCAAATTGTTTAAACAAAGGGTTTTTTGAAGCAAATAAATATTTAGTTAATTAGTAATTAGGAAAGGCTAAGTAATTTTATTTTATTTTAAGAGAATTCTTTGACATATAGGAAAAACTCGCGAGAAGACGCGCGACTCTACCTCTGGTCCAAGCGAAATGCGTGAACCGTACGCGCATCGTTTTGTGTCAGAGATAGGGAGCGCAGACGCGATCTTGCCCTCTCTCTTTGAGAAATTCTCCCACTGTACATTTTGGGAAATTGCGATCGAGGGAGCTCGATGCACTGGACCAAAACGTCAGTTCTTCTCAGAGCTCACTAAGAGGTTGGTTGCCTCCTCTCCTTAGCCTTGCCTACTGCTAACACTACTGTGGGACTTAAACTATTTTCCACTTTTGGGGCTTAGAATATTTTCACCCAATTTTGAACTTAAAATATTTTCGTCCAACTTCGGACTTAAAATATTTTCGATTAACTTTGAACTTAGAATATTTTCGTCGAACTTTGAACTCAGAGTATTTTTCGTCCTTAGGAACTTAAAATATTTTCCCGAGCTCCGATACTTAAACTTTTTCATCGATTTGTACTTTTAAAAATAAACTGTCTTTGAAATTTTACATGCTTTTGACTCAATTAAATTCATTTATTTTCATGCACCCCCCTCCGCTGTCTTTAAACATAGCACAGTATTGAGTTGGATATCCTCTCAATATTAGAGTACACCGAGCTGGTTGCCTCTCAGCACTCTAATTATCGGAAAGTATCGAGCTGGTTGCCTCTCGATATCTTTCAACATTGAGTTGGATATCCTCTCAATATTAGAGTACCCCGAGCTGGTTGCCTCTCGGCACTCTAATTATCGGAAAGTATCGAGCTGGTTGCCTCTCGATATCTTTCAACGTTGAGTTAGATGTCCTCTCAATATTAGAGTACACACACACAACGTGAATACCGAACTCCGCCTTTATGGTTATTCAATTCTTTATTTAATTTTTGTGAATTCGAATTTTATTTGAAGAATCAAACTGGCCTTTGATCCAGATACTCCCCTCTATAGTGACCGGTATCAATATTTACTCTTCTCGTTAACGTTATGAAAAATACGATAATGTGAAATTAAGGCCTTTAAAGATGTGTTGCAAGGTACAGTAGAGTGCAAAGATGCCTTCTTAGTTTGAACGTGTCACACTCATATGTTTCCATGGAAACATATGAGTGCGACACGTTCAAACTAAGAAGGCATCTTTGCACCCTACCGTATTTTACATAAATGACAACGCATTTTAAAATAGAAATAAAACAAAAGAATAATAAATTCGTCTAAGTAAATTGAAAAATTAAAACCAACAAGATCAGTTAATTCTAGCTTGTTTTTTTCTTCTTAAATTATCCTTTTCTGTTTACGTTTGAACCATTCCACAAATATTTTCTGGAAAAAATTGTATTTATTAAAAATCTTATTGGGTGTTAAGAAAATAAAGAAAACGCACTTTTTGAAAAAAGGGGGAAGGGCACCAAATGAGTTCACTCAGGAGAAGTCTGGCAAAATATAATGTTAATTTATTTTAATTAGTTGGCATTAATTTTAAAAGCAAAAAATACACTGGTTTTGTTTGAGAAATACTTTGATATTATATTGACGCAAAATATAAAGGCGAAATTTTAACTCGGAAGTTTTTTTAACATTTCTCCCCCGCGATGGCAACTGTGTTGTCAGAATTTGGAGTGGTCTGCGTTGAATCAGTGATGTCGTCTTGTGGTGTTAGCGGTAGTATGGCGAGCTTGGCAATTGGTCGCTTTAGAGTAGTTGTTGCAGACCGAATAATCACAACCCTCGTTAATCCATCGTTACCAGGGTGTAACTTGATGACTCGTGCTAAGGGCCATTTTGAAGGTGGTGTGTGTTCATTGGTGATTAACACTAACGAGCCAACTTGTATTTCGTTGCGTTGATGGAACCATTTTGATCTTGAGAGATGACGTTGAAGGCATTCCGATGACCAACGAGACCAGAAGTATTGCAAACGTTGTTGTAGAAATTGCCAGCGGTCTAATCGTGAAGTAGAGATGTCGAGTAGTGAAGGTTTCGGGATCGTGTTGAGAGCTTGTCCAATGAGAAAGTGCCCAGGCGTGAGTGTTTTGAGATCGTCCGGGTCCTCAGATAGGGCTGATAACGGCCGCGAATTTAATACAGATTCGATCTGTATCAGTAGAGTGGTCAGTTCCTCAAAGGTCATCGGTGTGTCTCCAATGGTGCGATTGAGGTGAAACTTAACCAATTTAACGGCGGCTTCCCATTTACCTCGAAAATGAGGGGCTGCGGGAGGGTTAAATTTCCACAAGGTGCCGTCGTTCAAGAGAAGTTGCTTGAGATGATCATGATCTAGAGAAGCGTCAGAGAATAATTGTCTTAATGTAGAGTTTGCTCCTTGGAAAGTAGTACCGCAGTCACTATATAGAACTTGAAAAATTCCACGTCTACCAACTAGTCGTCGATAAGCAGCCAGGAATGCATTGGCTGAATAGTCCGAGACGACTTCTAAGTGGACGGCAGATGTTGAGAAACACGTGAATATGGCAAGCCAGCCTTTATACGTTTTAGCGCCAAGACCTAAACGAGTTTTGAGAACGTCTGGTCCGGCGTAGTCCACTCCGGTGTGTAGAAAAGGTCGAGAAGGTGTGACTCGGACAGTCGGTAGCTGACCCATGAGTTGTTGAGCTCTAATACTTCGATATCTGGCACAAGTGATGCACTTTAGGATATGGGAGCGAACGAAAGCTCGACCACCAAGAATCCAAAAGCGTTGTCTCAGGGTTGCCATGGTTACTTGAGTACCTCCGTGGAGCGTCCGGTCATGTGCATCTGCAATGAGAAGGTCAGATAGAGGGCAATGTCTTGGTAAAATAATTGGGTGTTTTGCATTGGAGTCAAGGTAGAAGTGTTTGAGTCGGCCTCCCAAACATAGGGTACCTTTATGATCAAGGAAGGGAGTGTAGCGAAGCAGAGGATTGGAGTTGGACAAGGAGAGGTCATTGGAGAGATCATGAATGGTATCAGCAAAGAAGACATGTTGAGTTGAGTGAATCCAGAAGAGTAGAGCACGTTCATAATCCTCGTGATCTAATGTTGATTTTGAGTATGAAGGTTGACGTTTGAATTTGTCCACTGCTTTCTGACAGAGCGAAGTGATAGTCAAAAGGCGTTTCAAGGACGAGTAACGGGTTAACAAGTCCCATGGTTGGTGATCACGAGGCCTGGCTAACAATGATGATCCTGGTCTTTCCTCCTTTAGTATCGGGTTCGTGATTTTAGGAGTGAGAGATGGCCATTGTGAATTAGCTAGAGACAGCCAAGGAGGGCCATTCCACCAAAGATCGTGACGAGATAGTTGAGTGGAAGACATGTCACGGGAAGCACAGTCTGCAGGATTCTGCGTTCCTGGAGTCAGACACCACTTGGCTTTGGGGAGAGTTTCCTGAATGAGATGTACTCTATTTCTCACGAAGTCCTTTCATCTTGATGGATGATCCTTTATCCAAGCGAGTGCCACACTTGAGTCAGTCCAAAGAAAGATTTCCTGATCAGGTATGGGGAGGGTTGCACAGACTTGAGAAACTAGTTTCACTAGTAGAGCACAGGAAGCCAGTTCAAGTCGTGGAATGATGCATGGTTTGAGTGGGGCAACTTTTGTCTTGGCACAAATGAGTCGTATACTGACGTTGTCCTGATGAATTGATCTTAGATAGACTACTGCTGATAGAGCTACCTTAGAGGCATCAGTGAATCCGTGGAGTTGTACTGGTTGGTTTGAAGATGGGAAATGAATCCAGCGAGGTATTGTGATGAGACTTAGGTTATTTAGGCTATTTTGTAAGTTAAACCATCTTTGAGATAAGCGAGGAGAGAGGGGTTCATCCCAATTGAGCTTTTCGAGCCATAGAGACTGTAAAATTACTTTAGCTTGAATGACGATGGGTGAAATAAGTCCGAGTGGGTCGAAAATGCGTGCAATCTCAGAGAGAATACTGCGCTTAGTGAGAGTAGTGCTAGGTGTTAATTTTAGATTAAACTTGAAAACGTCGGAGTGACTGATCCAAAGAAGCCCAAGAATCTTACTATCAGAAGAGTCGAAGAAATGTTCAATACTGGACTCGGGACTGGAAACAATTGAAGACAATAATTGAGGATGATTAGATTTCCACTTAGCTAATGGAAATCCACCAGCTTTGCATAATTGGATTAATTGAAGAGCCACACAGTCGAGCTGTTCAAGATCATCAGCTCCTCCACAGATGTCGTCTACATAACGTCCCTTGGTCATGGGTTCAACTGCTAAGGGGTAGCGATGTTCTTCATCTTGTACAAGTTGATTCATGACGCAAACTGCTAAGAAGGGAGCTGAGCGCGTACCGTAAGTCACTGTGGTGAGTTCATGAGTAAAAATTTGTTGTTGATCATCTAACCAAAGGATTCTTTAAAATCGCCAATCATCGGGATGCATCTCTATTTGCCTGAACATTTTGGAGATATCAGTTATGAAAACAAATTCATATTGACGAAAGTAAAGAAGAATGTCAAATAAATTGGCTTGCAACTTTGCACCTGTATGGAGGACATCATTCAAAGAGACATTCGAAGAAGTCTTGGAGGAGCCATTGAATACAACTCGAATCTTGAGTAGATCTTCAATTGCAATCATGATACCGTGATGAGGTAAGTAGAAGTAAGGGTGTTTGTCGAGTAGAGAGGAATTCAGATTTCTGAGATGTTGCATAGAGTGGTATTCATTCATAAAATCGTGATATAGTCGTGCGAAAGAAGGGTTGCGAGCTAGTCTGGTCAATAAGCTTCGTAAATGAGCATGAGCTATATTTTTTGAATCACCAAGAGACGTAGGAGATCGTTGAAATGGAAGACGAACAACGTACCTGCCGTCTGACTTGCGTGAATGTGTGTCAATAAAGTGTTGTTCACAGATAAGTTCGTCTGGGGAGAGTTGTACGGAGGAATGAGGCTGATTCAACGGGATTTCTTCTAATTCTCAAAATTTAATAAGGAGATCATGAATGTCAGAGGTATCAGTATTATCAATAGAAATATTGAAAGAATGGTACGAAGAAGGGAGTTGGCCCAATACAACCCATCCAAAGTGGGTTTCTTGTGCAATTAAATTGTTTTGCGGATGTCAAATAAGGTTAGGTTTTATCAATTAAGAATAACAATCAACTCCTAGGAGAAGATCAATAGGTCCAGATGCAAGAAAGTCGGGATCAGCTAAAGCAAGGTTTGATAAAGAAGGCCAACTAAGTGAATTGACAGATATAGAAGGTAAGCAAGCAGTGAGCTGAGAAAGCACATGCGCATCAAGCGAAAGCGAAGCAGAAGGTGAGTTAATAGAAAGTAATTTGATTCTTACCACTCCTCTAGTCTGTCCGGAGGGAGTTCCACCGATACCCACAATGGGTAATTTTGAGAAAGTTCTTCTGAGGTGTAATAAGGATACCACCTGTTCCGAGATGAAGCTCAATTCGAGTCCAGTGTCTAACAATGCTCGAATTTTGAGAGGTGTAGAATTGTGAGATATGAGAAGTACTTGTAGAGTGGCGAGAAGTACGAGAGACCTTGAGTTGAGAGAGGTAGTTAGTCAATGTGATGAATCAATATCAGTGACAGAGTTTGGTTCTGTTGACATTTCTCTGTCAAGAGAGACGGTTCCAGTTAGGGAATGTGAGTGGTCTTGTTTTTGAGCGTGTCCTCGTTGATTAGAGCTGGCTGGTTGTTTAGAGATGACTACAGATATGACTCATGTAGTGAGGTATGATGTTTTTCATTACACGATCTGCATCGAGCAGGATTCCGACAAGAGCGTGCGTTATGACGTCCTAAACAGTTGTAGCATAACCATCTATCTCGTACAATCTCGGCTCGTTGCTCAGGAGTTCGATTCTTAAAAGTTGTACATGTGGCTATAAAGTGTGGCTCATTACAGTCGTCGCAAGGATGACTTGTGGAAGGAGTGGCCACAGGTGAGAGCGTTCAGTCGTGACAGCGTGAGCACGAGTTACTGTACGAGGGGGAGGAAGTCGAGGGGGTGTAGCCTTACTAGGTTGAGAAGGTCGGGATTTTTGTTTCTCTATCTCCATATTTTCGAGGGCTCGAGCTCTTCCAAAGAGAAATGTACGTAGTTCCTCAAAAGTGGGGTATTCTACTTGGGATTCTAGATACAGCTACCAGCTTCGTGAGAAGCATGGTCTAAATTTTTTACGAGTAAGTGTACCAACATCATATTCCAATAATCCACTGGTGCACCTAGTAGTCTCAATGAATTGACAGCATCAGCTGATGAGTTGAGTAGAGCCTAAAGATTATTTGCAGATTTTGAGTCGGTCGATGGGGGGAGAGAAGTCGGTTGAGTTGAGCTGTGACGAGGATCCGTTTATTCTCGAAACGTTCTACCTTCTACGAGCATTCCCCATGCTGTAGTGAATGATGCTCTAGAGTTAGGAAGAGATGCATCACCTGTGAGAGTAAAGCGCAAATAATGCATTTTTTCAACATTCGACAATTTTGTGTTGGATCCCACTAAGGTAGTAAAGAGATCAGAAAATGCTTGCCACTCATTGTATTCCCCTGAGAAGTTCTTTAAGGTGATTTTGGGTAAGAAAGAGCGAGATGAATGAGCAGGAGCAGTGAGAGAGGTATCAGCGAAAGTAGGTCCGGTAGGGTTGAGAGTCTTCTCGAGATCGTCCTTGAGCGTGCGTAATTCGGAGAGAGAATAAGAGTAGGCAGAGAGACAGGTGTTATACATATTCTCTGTATAATATTCGTTCGAGAGTAGTGCATCCGTCTTTGCTTCTGCAAGACGTTCATGAGTAGTCTCAAATTTACTCCAGTTGGATTGCAGAAGATCAAGTCTCGTTATAAGATCTTAAATTCTTGGATTTTTCATTCCTGATTTTCATTCCGCGGCTAAGTCAGTAATGTAACTCATACGGTTACGTTGAAGTTCTATTTTCATTTCCGACATCGTTAGATAGACGGAGAGTCACTGAGCAGTAAATTGTACACGAGAACGAGAGAGATACAATGTAGTTGAGCAGGTCAGGAGAAGCACTGTAGCGAAAAGAAAGGGGGGAATCTCAGTCTTCGGGTCTGAGAGAGAAAGAGAAACACTGGTGTACGTGACGACGCCTAATTTCACTATGGCGACGCACTGATGCGAAAACTGAATTATACCGCACAATAATTTGTCGACACTTTAACTCACTTCACAATCCGGCTCGAAGGACCAATGTTAAGAAAATAAAGAAAACGCACTTTTTGAAAAAAGGGGGAAGGGCACCAAATGAGTTCACTCAGGAGAAGTCTGGCAAAATATAATGTTAATTTATTTTAATTAGTTGGCATTAATTTTAAAAGCGAAAAATACACTGGTTTTGTTTGAGAAATACTTTGATATTATATAATTATAAGTTTGAGATGCACTTTGTCTTTTTTTACACTACGATGATTGAGATAGTACTTTTTGTTGTATAAATATGATTTCTATTAATATTAATTCCAATTATGACTCTTCGCTCTGGTCAAAGGATAATGATAGGCAAAGGCAATTTTGAGTAACATTAGGTCGAAAGGGGGAAGAGAGGAGGAGAGCGGGTCCCACGGGAGGGAGGAGAGAAAGAAAGTGAAAAAGGGCGAGAGAGCATGAAGAGAGCATTGACGCAAAATATAAAGGCGAAATTTTAACTCGGGAGTTTGTCTAACATTGGGTATTAACTGTATTAACATGTAATATGTAAATCTATAAATATAAAACATACTTCAGAGCAGGCTCCAAGTTGATAAGATCAACTGAAACTTCAGCCTGCGAGACACTTTCTATATCATTTGGGGTAAATATTTTGTAAATATAGCGCTGAATAAAGTTTCAAATATGTACAGCAGTACTAGGATATTGAGCATTTAAAGATTAGTAAATTTTGAAACATACATCCAATGTTTGAAGCAAACTTTCCATCATATACTTAATAGAATCAACATAAACGTAAATTGAGTTAATATTTTCAATTGTGTTTCCAATAACTAAAATGAAAGCTTGCACAGTATCATTTCTTTTTGTGGCTCTTCGAGTTATACGATTAAGCTCACACTCTAGATCTGTCAAGTTCTATATCAAACAAATTTTAAATATAAATTAATCTGCATTAAAAATTATTATTCGAATAATACAAATTCTTTTAATAAATTACCTTTTTTAAATGGTTTTTAATTTTTTTTAAATTTAAATATTACTAACAAACATTTAAATAAATTATGAAAATAGTTTACTTTAACATGAAGAAAGAATGTTTCTACTAATTCTGACTTTGATGGTCTAAAGTTTTTTCCGGTTTTTTTGTTACGAATCGTTCCGGAACAAAAAACTTGCGGCAAAAAACTTTAGCACTACAGAATCTAAAAAAAATATCTGATTAAAAAAATTATATTCAAAAATAGTAAAAACTTTTCTGTTTAACATTTTTTAAAGTAGTAAATAATTCTTATTTAATATATTTAGGAATAACTTTTTGTTAAAGACTTAATCTAAATTACGAAAACAAGATAATGAGAATGTTAGTTTACCATTAGTTCTTTTTAAACGTATTTCTTCTGACAAATGCTTGTTTCTAATGCCTAAGTTTATAATTCCACGCGAAAAATATTCCCACGCAGAATATAACAAAGTTTTTTTTCAGGATATTTGTAATTAAAATCCTCCAGTAATAATTGGTACCCAAATTGTACACGTAAAGCAGGGAATAAACAGAAATATTCAAATATGTTATTTGATTTCAAAAATGCTTCTCGCTGTGAAATGCAATATTGCCAGAAGTGTTTAATTTCTTCAAAATTATCAATATTGCTTTTTAAATATTGAAAAGCCGCTTCAGATTGTTCGGAAGGCTCATTGATAGGTGTAGAGTTTACAACTTCTTCATCTTGTAGATCACTATTTTTAAAGCGACCACCTAAAGCTTTCTGCACATTGTGATATCGATGCCATAATTTTCCCACGTCAAATGTTTTTACACCATTTTTCGTTATTGGTTTAGCAGGTATGAAATAAATAAATGACTTCTCGGTAGGATATGCTAGGACTATTTCTTTTGCAGCTTTTATGAATATTTCTTTTGAAATACTGACATAATTAGTAAGCTAAAATAATTTAAATAATTTTATTTATTACTTTTTTGTTTATATTTAGAAATCTTATTATTTTTTTCTATTTAAACCAAACGACCTTCAATATTTGTTGAAAGATAAACATACAAACCCTGAAAATTTTTAACATTTAAAATATAAAACCATTTTAAGAAAAGCTGATTTAAAGAAAAA